ACTTGACCTAGAGTAATCAAACATCTATCCCTAACCTCAATATGCGTCATGTCCCTCTCCTCAGTGAATACCGATGCAAAGTACTCATTAAGAATCTCACTCATTTTCTCTGACTCCTCGCATAACTTCCCTCCTTTGTCCTTGAGTGGGCCAACGCTTTCTCTAGTTACCCTCTTGCTCCTTATGTATGAATAAAAGGCTTTGGGATTTTCCTTAACCCTGTTTGCTAAAGATATTTCATGACCCCTTTTAGCCCTCTTAATTCCTCGTTTCAGATTGGCCCTACTTTCCCGATATTCTTCCAAAGCTTCATCTGTTTTCAGTCGCCTGGATCTTGTGTATGCTTCCTTTTTCCTCTTTGCTAGTCTCACAATTTCACCTGTCATCTACGGTCCCCTAATCTTGCCCTTTCTATCCCTCATTTTCACAGGGACATGTCTGTCCTGCACTCTAATCAACCTCTCTTTAAAAGCCTCCCACATATCAAATGTGGATTTACCCTCAAACAGCTGCTCCCAATCCACATTCCCCAGCTCCTGCCGAATTTTGCTATAGTTGGCCTTCCCCCTATTCAGCACTCTTCCTTTAGGACCACTCTTGTCTTTGTCCATGAGTATTCTAAAACTTACGGAATTGTGATCACTATTCCCAAAGTAATCCCCTACTGAAACTTCAACCACCTGGCTGGGCTCATTCCCCAACACCAGGTCCAGTATGGCCCCTTCTGAGTTGGACTATTTACATAGTGCTCTAGAAAACCCTCCTGGATGCTCCTTACAAATTCTGCTCCATCTAAACCCCTAACACTAAGTGAATCCCAGTCAATGTTGGGAAAATTAAAATCTCCCATCACCACCACCCTGTTGCTCCTACATCTTTCCATAATCTGTCTATATATTTGTACTTCTATCTCACGCTCGCTGATGAGAGGCCTGTAGTACAGCCCCAACATTGCTACCACACCCTTCCTATTTCTGAGCTCTGCCCATATTGCCTCACTGCTCAAGTCCTCCATAGTGCCCTCCTTCAGCACAGCTGTGATATCCTCTTTGACCAGTAATGCAACTCCTCCACCCCTTTTAACTCCCTCTCTATCCCACTTGAAGCATCTACATCCTGGGATATTTAGTTGCCAATCTTGCCCTTCCCTCAACCAAGTCTCAGTAATAGCAATAACATCATACTCCTTGGTACTAATCCAAGCCCGAAGTTCATCTGCCTTACCTACTACACTTCTTGCATTAAAACAAATACACCTCAGACCACCTGTCCCTTTGCATTCATCATCTGCTCTCTGCCTACTCTTCCCCTTAGTCACACTGACTTCATTATCTAGTTCCTTACAGGCTTTAGTTACTACCTCCTTACTGTCCACTAACCTCCTCATTTGGTTCCCAGCCCCCTGCCACATTAGTTTAAATCCTTCCCAACAGCGTTAGCAAAAGCAACCCCTAGGACATTGGTTCCAGTCCTCCTAGACCGTCTGATTTGTAACAGTCCCACCTCCCCCAGAACCAGTCCCAACGTCCCAAAAATCTGAACCCCTCCCTCCTGCACCATCTCTCAAGCCACTCATTTATCCTGCCTATTGTTTCATTTCTATTTTGACCAGCACATGGCACTGTCAGAGTGACAGAGTCATAACACAGTGGCCCAAACAGATTTTTCCAATATATTTGTTCGGAAGATGTGGCTGTTAGTGGCTGGCTTGGTACTTATGGCCTGTCTCTTGTTAGAAACAGAATGCCTACAGTGCAGATAGAGGCCATCTGACCCATCGATCTGCCCCGACCCTTGGAAGAGCACCCCCCGGAGACCCTTGAAGTAATATCTTGGCTGTGGTAAAGGAAAATCAACGAATTTACTTCACTTAGATTTCCAAAAGGTATTTGGTAAGGTTCCACATAAAAGATTCCTACAGAAAATGTGGAGTTAACAGACTGGCATGGACTGAAGATTGGCTAACAGAAAGCACAAAGAAAGAATACACTGGTCTTTTTCAGATTGGCAGGATATCAGAGTGGTGTCTGACAGGAGGTGATACTGGGGCTCCTTACAATTTATATAAATGACTTGGATGAAAGGACCAGAAATACGGAAGCTAAATTTGGTGATGACACAAAAATAAGGAGGAAAGCGAGATTTGAAGAGGACAAAAGGTGCCTAACAAAGGGATATTAAGCCAAAACAAAGTTGCTGGCAAAACTCAGGAAATCTGGCAACATCTGTGGAAAGAAAGCAGAGTTGAGCCCAGTGACCCTTCATCAGAACTGATCACAGCGAGGAAAAACTGATATTCATGCTGAAGTCAAGTTTTTTTTCAGGGGGCAAGCAGAAGGAGAGATGAGTGGATTGATTAAGACAGAGCCAAGACAGAGATATGAAAGGGGCTGGGTAAACAAGTGGATTATGGATGGCAGACCAGGACAGAAGAGATAATAAGAGCTGAAAGTAACAGAAATTATTTTGCTTTCAGCACAGGCAACCATGTAATATAATACTAAGCCTGAGAGTGGGTGAAAATGGGTAGTCTATGCTGAAACTAACCCACATCATAACAGGACTGGGTGTGGGAGTAGGGGTGGGTAAATAAAAACACAGCAGGATGGAATGAGGCTCTAAAATGATTGAACTTTATGCTGAGTCCCAGAAGCTGCAGGGTACCCAAGCAGAAAATGAGATATGAATCTGTGAAAATGGCCCAAGTTTCCAGTTGCCTACCCCTTCAACACACCACTGTATTCCCATGCCAACCCCTATCTTGGGTTTGCTGCAGTGCTCCAGTGAGACTCAGAGCAAACTCAAAAGACCAACACCTCATTTTCCATTTGGGGACCCTGCAGCCTCTGAGACTCAACATAGACTTCAATAACTTTACAGCCTGTTTCCATCGTTCCAATTCTTTTTTAAAACCAACCCCACACCCATATCCTGTTATGTCAAGGGCTGCTTTGAGCAGAGCCAACCCATTTTCACACACTGTCAGCCCATTTTCACATTACATGGTTTGCTTTCAGCACAGACCACCCATTCTCTGCTACCCTCAGCTCTCAGTATCACTTATACAGCTTCCCTTCTGTCCTGGCCTACCATCCATAATTCCCTGTTTACCTACCCTTCTAATATCTCTCTCTCCCTGTCTTCACCTATCCGCTCACCTCTCCCTTTCTCTGCCTCCTCCCTCACCTTCAGCACAAATACCAGTTTTTCCTAGCGCTATCAGTTCTGATGAAGAGTTGAAACATTAACTTGAAATGTTAATTCTGTTCTCTCCCCACAGATGCTGCAAGATCTGCGCTCAGTTTTGCCAACAATTTGTTCTTTTTTCAAAACTGAGGATGGTAGAAATCTTTGTTTTAGTTTAACTAAAATGGGATATTGATAGATTAAATGAGTGGACAAAACTCTAGTGTAGAGTTGTCCATTTAGCAGAAAGATTTGTTAAAAAGCTTATTATTGAAACGGTGAGAGGTTTCAGAGCTCAGAGAGAGATCTGGATGTCCTAATGGATGAATTGCAGAAGGTTAGCATGCAGCTACAGTTTAGTGTTTTACTAAACAGCTAAATGTAAAAAAATTAAGTTTTCAGATTGTATTTATTTTTAAGTACAAATTATGAAACTTGTCCATATCAATCTGGTTTTAAGTCTTTTCATTAATTACAAATTAATGGCAGAAAATCATTTTCATACCTTTAAGAAAAAGTGCTTTAAATTTAATTAAGTCAGTTTCGCAGCATCTCAAAAGTGCAATGCTGTTACAGCCTTGTAGTTATCAAGTAAACATGAATATAAAATCATTGAACACAGATGTGCATCCTCGAAGTACAGTTTGCAAAACAATTGGGCCAGTCAATATTGAAGCCTTTGCAGACAGCAACTTCGTTTCGGTCATTAACAAATATAAATCATGACTGGTTACACTTTGGATACAGCTTCTCTACAGGCACGAGATGCTTTATATATAATTTAAAGTGAGGTGTACAGTTTCACAGTTCTGTACGTTTACCTCAATCTGATGCCTTCAGTTATGCAAAATCAATTTAAGATCCTACAAAATCTGTTATTCCAGCTAGTCCTATAGTCCTCCAAGATCACTATATTCCCTTAAGTCTAGGCTCCTGTATGAATGTAAACATTCCATCACCTGTGTTCCCACCTTCATTAACTGGGCCCAAAGGTATACCATTGCCTCCCTCAATCTCCCCGATTTCAAACACACCTTAAAACCACCTTTTTTCAGTAAGCTTTTGATCACCTCTCCTAGAATCTATGGCTCAGATGCAAATTTTACCTGATAACACCCATGTGAAGTGCTTTGGGATGTTTGAGTGCACGTACATGCTATATAAGTGTAAGTTTTTGTTGATCATAGACACTGTTATTTTATAACATCAGCTCTAGATCTACATTAGTTCCAAATAAAAAGTTGCTATAACGCATAATTTACTAAGAAAGAAAACCTCAAGTGGTTAGTAAGTTGACAATGACCATACATCTGGACTTCATGTTGCATTTTATACCTCTCCTGTTAAGGTTATAACCCTTGTATACTAAAATAAATCAGCTTTACTTCTGAATGAGTGTAACAGATCATATAAGTAAAGGTAATTAATTACAGTTAAATATACATCTTCAATAAACAAATAATGGCAGGCAACAACAGCTAAATGAACTCTCAAATATCTGCAAATTTTCAAATGGTTGGCCAACAATCTAGAATTTCTCTGGAATCAATAGACTTTCTTCATTGGACAGTGCTGTGAGCAAGTCAGGAGAAGAGTAAAAGGAATATTCCCCCCATCGCACCCAAATTTTCTTCAAATACATTAGCTCACTTAAAAATAAAAATCCAAAAGGGAGAAACGGAGGCTTGACTGGACAGGATGAGATGAAGATATCTGTCCAACCACAGGTGGTAGCCTGAATCACCAATTAAGCTGGTTCAAGCTTTGAATTAAAAGCAATCATTTGGTCCCTAATAAGAAACTCCAAACAAACATTGTAAGACAAAAAAGTTTGTTTTTTTATATAATAATTTAAAGCATGAATTTGATTTTAACAATTCTTTTTCATAAATGTGTGAATTTGACCAATGTTTGACCACCAAAGACATCTCAGTCAGTTTAGCACTGAAGTCAAGTTCACATTTAAAATATCACAGTTCCAAGTACGGAAAATACACATCACCTGCTTCAGAATTCTACAGTAGGAAATACAGTTTTTATTCTCCACCACAAAACAAAAGCTTTGCACACAATTCATTATCAAACAGTTACAATGTTCATATTTCTCAAACAAACTGAAATTCACTTGTTCGTGGTTGTTCAAACCCCATGTTGTACTGTCGAGTCCAGTCAGTTTGGTTTGGCTTAAACAGACCAAAGCAGCGGCACTGGAAGAAATCCACCACATTCCGGAAACAGCCACGACTGCAATCAATGAACCAACATTTTAGCACCCACCACAGCTTTATTTCTGCAACAGTCGCGATATCACCACAAATATATCATTCTCTCCCGAACTCCCATGGCACCACTGCTCGAGCTGAGGAGACAGGCCCACAGCTCATTCGTGAAATCCTTTTGTGTTCCATGACAACACATGGTCGCAATCTGTGCCTACTGTGCCACATCTACAAAATTCAACCCCCTCATACACAATCCTGACATTTGCTCCTTGTTGGTACTAAAAGATAAAATACAACATCTGACTGGATATATAAAAACAGGGACCAGGATCCCATCAATTCAATGGCAATTTTCACAAATTTGAATGGGAACACCAACTTTCTCAACTATGTGACTAAATTATATCAAAGCACATTAAAAGTCTTGAACTTTTTTTTAAAATAAGGATTACAGATTAAAAGCAAAGCACTTTACAACTTCGAAATTGATGAGGTAGGAGTTGTTGAGCACAAGCTGCAACACAAAGCCTGATGGGAGACTGGTACATACGGAAAATTTACCTTGGGCCAAGATGGCCACCGAGGGTCAAGTGACCACCTGTGACTTCTGCACACAGGATCAACTGCATGCTGCCAGAAAGCTATTAATGTTTAAATGGCTGGGGTGCACTCAACTAAACATGCAGAGTCAAAACACATCGGTGGAATTTACATCTTCTATTGTTTGTCAACTTACAGAAAACGCAAACTTAATAAAATTGCAGACTTCTTACTGATACATTCAATACGCGATACAAAAGTGTCTGCAGAATTCATAAATTGGTGTTAAGTAGGTCACCATGCTACAGCAATGGCATCTAACTTTAATTACCCCGGGTGGAGGTTAGAAGTATGGATCATATGCTGAAAATGACTACAGATAAAGGAGGATCAGGAGAGAACAGTCAGACAGCCCACAAACCAGGAGTTCAAAACAAAAACTGAAAGTGCTGGAGAAACTCAGCAGGTCTGGCAGCATCTGTGGAGAGAGAAAAAAACAGAGTTAACGTTATGAGTCCAGAGATCCTTCAGCTGAAGGATCCAAGGATGTGAACTCTGTTCTTCTCCCCAAAGATGGTGCCAGACCTGCTGAATTTCTCCATAAACT